CAGTAACAGGAATGATAGTCTCACTGTAACTGTCTAACTTCCCTCTCAGTTGAGGAGGTGCCTGTCACCTCCTCCAGGAAGCCTTCCCTGATATGCCTCTATCCCTCTCGACCTGGCCTCAAACCTCACACCCCTCTATTCAGTTACCTATCACTCTGGCTTAAACAATGATGTGTTTATGTGGTGAGGCAGCCCACACCCACCTCAGGAGCATGAGTCTTTTGTCAATAGAAACCCAGCTGAGGGCCTCCCGGATGGCGCAGCAGGTTGAACACAGCGCTGGGAAGTTGTCCACAGCCTCTGTAGCATGGGTTCAATTCCCAGCTGGCCAGGGAGATTCCCACATAGCACAGCAGATCTCTCCTGTCTCATCCACTGCTCCCCTCAGCAGTGTATTTCAGTCAGTCTGCCTGTTCTGTTCCCTGCTCTGTCTCTGGTGAATCCTCTCAAACTCCTATGTCTCTGGCCTATACCCCAGCTCTTGTATGAAAATAAATAAATGAATCTTTAAAAAGAAATAAAGAAACACAGCTGAGTTATCTCTGTGTGCCAGAGGCAGATTTCTAGCAATATCAACAAATATTAGTTGATGAAAGAATGTCGACAGACTGCCTGCTAATGTCCCCAAATAAGAGCCACTGATGCTGGGGAGAAGCTGTCCACCCACAGAGCTGGGCCCCACCATGTTACTCATCCTAGGTTCACTGACCCCGGATGCCCAGGCTGGCTGAAGGTTCAGAGTCCCCAACTCCCTAATCCCCTTCTCTGGGCCCTCTGAGAGTCCCAACAGCCATCAGGGATCCATGCAGTGAATCCAAAGACAGACATAAGATCTCCAAGACTCTAAGAAATGCCTCCCAAGACACAGCAGGATCAAATTAAAGGAAATTAGTGTATCTCTGCCTACTATGGAAGCACAGTCTAGAAAATTGAAAAGACATGATTTTAGCCAAGTTGTGACCTGGATGTGCTCATTCATTTATTCACTCAACAAACATCACTGGAGCACTCCCTGTGCTCCTGGTTCCGTGAACAGAACACAGAAGCATCCCTGTCCTCTCCGAACTTAGGGCTGAGGGGAGACAGGCTATAAGTAAACATGCAGTGGGATGCATGAGAGGCTGTAATCAAGGAGATCACAAAAAAAAGATCATTAACAGGGGTCTCTCCTTAAACAGGGCCAGGAAACTGGAGGCTGGCACCTCTGGTGGGGAGGCCAAGGAATGGATGCTCAAAGATCTTTATCACCTCATTATTAAGCAGCAGCGAAGAGTTTAGAGTTTTCTTGCAAATGAACATAGTTCAGCGACTCATGACTCTGCTGTGAAGTCTGGTCATTAAAAACGTTGTTTGTGAAAGTTTTAGTGATATACAGTTTATTATGAACTAGGTAAAACTTTCATGGGAAAAATACTGAGAAGAAGATCTGCAAAAATGTTACCAAAGGCTATCTAGGGATGGTGACGTCATGGGCACCTGGTTTTTGGTTTGTGTGAATGTGTTTCTTTTGGGTTTTGTTCTGTACATAAGGTTTTAGGTTGTTTTTTGTTTGTTTGTTTGTTTTTGTGGGGGGAGGGAGTTGTATGATTTTTCCACAAAATATATGTATTCATTTAATTTTTTTAAAGATTTTTTTTTTATTTATTTATGCATACAAGAATTGGGTGTAGGCCAGAGGTATGGGGTGGTGAGAGGATTCACCAGAGACAGAGTGGGGAGCAGAACAGGCAGATCTACTGAAATACACAGCTGAGGGGAGCAGTGGGTGAGAGAGGAGAGGTCTGCTGTGTCATGTGGGTCAGATCCCTGGCTGGGGATCAAACTCTAATTTCAGTGGCTGCCGATAGCTTGATAGCGCTAAGGCTTTAACCCCTGCGCCACCAGGGAGGCCCTGAATTCATTTAATATTTTAAATAAATATTTTATTAAGAATATAAACTAGAAGAGAACATATTTAAAGCCAGTAAGAGAAAACAACGTGACATGTACCACAGGGAGTGTGGATTGATGGTCTGGTGGGCCACCAAGGCCTTGCCCCACCCACTGGTCCAGTGCAGGCCATCTGGATAACAGTGAATAAGAACAATGGTGGTGACAATAGAAGGCGACCTTGGTTGAATTCCACACCTTGTCCAAGTGCTTGAGGGGCTTTCCCCATTAATGTGGGAGCAAGTGAGCCCATTGCCATCACTGTTTTACAAATGAGAAAACTGAGGCCCAGGGAGATAAAGCCCTTTTGCTTAAGGCCACCCAGTTTCAGTGCTGGTACTGGGATTTGAACCTGGATATTTCAGACTCCAGAACCCATTTCTTAACCACTGTGGTCAGTGAGTTTTCAGGGAAGGATGGAACTGGCTGATACAGAGAGACTTGCTAGGAGGCGGAGAAAGAAGTCTCAAGCCGGGATGAAGTTGGGCAATACATAAAATAAAATAAAATGCAGAACATCTAGTTAAGGGAATTTCAGAAAAACAACAGATAATATCTTAGCACAGGTGTGTCCCGCAACATCTGGCATACCAGGAGTGCTGGCCTGAGTACACCTGTCTAACCAACCCAGGACCAGCTTGTGTTCACCTCCGCCAGGCTGTCTTCTCTGATTTGAATCCGATGTTCCAGGCCTGCCCAAGTAGTATTGATATCCGTAAACTAAAATAACTGTCAACATTTATCTGAAATGCAAATTTAATGGGGCATTCTGTGTTTTTTCCCACTTTACTGAGTTACTGTTGACAAATAAAAATGATATATTTTTAGGTATATTTTTAGGTGTTGCTATATGCATACCTGTGAAATGATTACCACAATGAAATGAACACATCTATAACCTCTTAGTGACCATTTGTGTGTGTGTGTGTATTGAGAACACTTAAGATCTATTCTCTTAGTGAATTTCAGGCATGTAATACAGTATTATTAACTATACCAACTAAGCTGTTTGTCAGATCAGGTATAACGAGTAAGTTCTGGACAGCCTGTATTTTTATTTGCTCAATCTGCCAACTTTGGGGGTTTGTACTTAGCAACTCACATTCTTAGGAAGTATTTTCTGACCACCAAGAACCTGCACTGCCCGATGCCTGAAACCAACCCAAGCTTGTTTCAAAGACCAAAGAGTTTTCAAATCTTATTTTCATTCTTAGACAATGGAAAGAACACTCTGTAGACACCTAGCAGGTAGCAGAGAGAACAAAGGAAGGTTCTACCTGCTCCCACTAATCAATTGGTCTAAAAAACACCTCCCAGAAACAGAGAAAACAACAAGAAAACCCCTTCAAATGCCTCCTTGACAGGGATTCAAACTGTGCCCCATTCCTGTATGCAGGCTGTTAAGAAAGGGCCAGAGAGCTCAGCAGGTCTGGCTGGGCAATTTCCCTCCTTGAAACCAACAGGAAAACCACCACTCACCCTCTTGCTCATTCAAATGGATACACTCGGGTCAAGACTCATTAAATTTTGGGATAGCTTCTCATTCTCTGCTGTCAAGGTCAAAGTTGTGGTTCCTAATGGCACCCACTCATGGGGGAACAGGGCATAAAAGAACATGCTGCAGATTCCCCCCAATGAAGGGGGGTATTAGGAAGCACAAGAGTAGAATAATTGCCAGAATTTAAAGATGGGGGCTCCACGGCACCCACTGCAGAAATCAACTCTACTCCACTGGTTTTCAAAGCTGGGTTCCGGGCCCACCAGTATCTGCACCACCTGGAAATTTGTAAGAAATGCAAATTCTCAGGCCAGACTCCAGACCTAGAGAGGCAGAGTGTGGCTGGTTCTGCCGTGTTAGCAGTGACAGTCATAAAGCAGAAGCTCTTAATTGTCATGAGGTAGTTTATCAAGTTAATCTCTTATGGACTGTGCTTTGGAGTCACAGCAGTCTTTGCCAGCCCAAGGTTACGGAAATTTTTCTCCTGGTTTCTTCTAGAAATTCTATGCTCTTAAATTTTAGAGTTAGATCTGTGATCCAATTTTTGTTACTTTTTGTATATGGTGTGAGTTTGTAGACTGAAATTCATCTTTTTATATGAGGACAGCCAATGACTCCAGCATCATTTGTTTCCCATACATGTCTGTGTGGGGAAAGGCTTTGGTGTGGAAATTAAGTGCCCAACTCTACCTGGTAAATACCTGCTCAGCCTTTAAAACCCAGGTCAAATCTTTGTTTGGCTAAGAAAAATTCCCTGAGACCAAGTAGTTCATCTTTTCTCTGGTGCCCATGGCATCGTGTGTAGCCTCTGACACATTCTTGTCCCACATGATTATGTTAATTCCCACATCTCCTGATAGAGGGAATTTGCATAAATGGGGGCCATCATCCCAGCACTTAGCACAGACCTGGCATAGGAGGTGATTGTGGTATGTGAGCAGGATAGGGGCGACTCAGAAAACAACTGTTACAAATATAAATAAATGAATTAAAGAATAAACAAGTGAATAATTTGTCTTACAAACAACTATACCATCCCTCAAGGTCCTACTTACAGGCCACACCCACCAGGAAGCCCTCTCTGATTGCACCTACTCTCATTAATCATCAATACTTAGCAAGAGCACCCAAGTTACCGATTTAGGCCAAGCCTACACTCTATACACAGTTTCATTTAATCCTCACAACAGATCCATTAGGCAGATACTACTATCATTGCCTTACTCAAGAGGACCAGATGTTCAGAGGCTAGGTTCCATGCTAAGATCACATATCTAGTAAGTGTCAGAGCCAGGCCTGAACCCAATGGCCTGAATGCCACCACTTCTGGGTTCCCTTTAGATATAAAAATCTCATTTCCCCAACAACCCTCATTTTCAGATGCACCCTCCCTCGCTCCCCCACCCCCGCCCCCACAGCAACCTCTCATCTCCCTGACTGACCAGCTCTTGCCAACTACGCACCCTGGTGGCAAAGGAGAGGAGTTACACAAGGGACCCCTCCATTACCCCCACTTTCCTGGCCAAGAGAGACCAACACCCACATCCCCGCCCTGGAAGGACCTCCTCTTTACCTTATGCCACGTGCCCATGCCGAAGGAGCTGCTGTCTGCCATGTGGTGCAGGCACAGCTCAGTCCTGGAAGCAGAAAAGGACAAGACGTAAGGGAAGGCTGCCCACATAGGTGGCCTGGCAGGGCTGGTCAAGGTGGAGGGCTGCCAGGTAACCCCAGGCCTGCCCAGACCCTAGCCCTGCCTCCCACAAACTCCTCGCTCACTGCACTTACAAGGAGCTTCCTAAAGGTAGGGATCCTGGTAGAACAGGGCCTGGCCAAGAGTAGGGGCCAGCTCTAAATCTGGGGCTTCCACTACCTGGTGATGTGAACTTGCTCAAAGATAACACTAGAACAACCACTTGAAAGGACCCGCCTCTATGCTAAATTCCAAGATTAGATTATTATGATGACCCCACCCAATAGGTACAAATACTATTCCCAGTTGGCTGAGAGGTGCCGAGAACAAGAACTTTGTCCACATAGCTAGCCAACATGGGGCCAGGAGTCAGAGTGAGCGCTTTTGGATCCCTGGATACAGACTCCTCCACTGTACAGCACCCACCCCTCCTCTCTGGCCTGTGCCTTCATCCTATAAAGGGCCATGATGTTCAAGGCTGCTTCTAGTGTTCAAACTGAAGGTCCTTGAGAGAGGGGCCTATAGATAGGCTGCCCACTCTGCAGGCCTGAAGAACACAAGCAAAGGTGGAATGGGTGGGGAGGCACAGCCATGCCACCACCCCCTCCAGGCATGCCCCACACACAGAAGCATCGTGAAGTCTGGCCTAGGATCCCACAACCCTATGGGATCAAACCTGATCCTAGGAATTGGAGCTCACTCAGCAGTCCCCAGCCAGTCCTGCTAGACTGGGATCCTTTAGTGCTCCCTCCCCTGGTTTTTCTACACGCCCCACACCCCTGGCCTCAGCCTCATGCCCTGGAATAACCCTTTTCAGACAGATTTTTGAGTCCAGTCCCAGTCCTGCCAGTTAGCAGACAAGGTATTCTCTTCTTTGAATATCCTTTAGCTCATCTATAAATGGGTGGTCTACTACTTATGTCTCAGGATTCTACTACATGTGCCTCATGAAAACTCCCCCTGCCCACTTGGCACAGAGTAGGTTCTCTGCATTTATTTCCCTTGTCTTCAACCTAGTCTGTATTCCATTTGTTGGAAGGTGAACTTTACAACTAATTGAGGAGTATGTACCCTAAGCTAAGTACTGGGGAGGCAGAAAGGAGCAAGGCTGATTCAGGTATCTCAGAGTCAGTCTGAAGGGAAAGAGAACACATCTACCCCAGTGTGGCAGGTGCTGAACCAAAGGGCATACCAGGGACCAAAGTGGATAAAGGACAAACTGAGGGAGCACACCTCTAAAAAGGGTATTGGAGCTGGGTTTTGAAGGATGAATAGGAGTTTGCTACAGAAATAAAAATGGACACTTGCAGAAATGAGAACCAGATTTTTTCCTTCGAAGTTTCATTGTAGATGAGGGACCAGCCTGGCAGCAGCAGAGGCAGAGAAAGGGAAATGGTGTGGGAGATCATCAGGGATGCCTCCTGCAGAAGCACGACCCCCTAAAGGTCTGAGTTGCTCCAAATACTTTTCTAGCCTCCTAGGGTGCTTGAAACTCATAAGGGATGGCTCTGTGCTCTCAGACACAACTTTGTCCTGGTTCCTAAGGACTCCACACTCATTTGGGTCAGGCCCTCTGACACAGAGCCCTCCAGACTGGCGTGAACCTGGTGTGGGGTCCTAGTATTCTCTGCTGATAGCATCTTAGGAGCAGCCTCCTCACACCAGAATCAAACCCCAGCCATTCTACAGAAGGGGAAACAGGTTCAGAGACCAACACAGGGCAAAGCCAGGCTCTAAACACATGCCCCTCTGACCCCAAAGTCAGACCTTTCCAGCACACCTCCTATCAGGTCCTGAGAGTCGTGTCAAGGCAGATTTGATCCTCCAAAGAGTCAGAGCAGACAAATAGGAGCCTTCTCTGTCCTCAGCATTGTACCTCCTCACTCTATAACCATCGCGGCCCCCTGAGGCGACTATTAGCAAACCCACTTCACAGATATGAAAAGCGAGCCTCAGAGAGGTGAAGTCAGCAGCCCCGGTCATATAACCAGCAAGTGGAGAAGTCAGATGTGAGTCCACATAGTTTGACCCCAAATCTGAGCTCCTAGCCACTGTGCTGCTCCAATTTCTTCTATAGATTCTGAAGAAGTTCAAGTAGCTTCCTTACTACTCAGTTACCCTGCTCTAAAAATGGGGAGTTTCCTCTCCAGTTTACCCTCTCCAAAAAGAACAGCTATCCCTCCACCTTCGCAGGAGGCTCAGGACAGATTCAGCCTGCCCTTCACAGGGGAGGAAGCAAGAGGCAAACAATGGGGGACAGAGAAAAAGCACAAATCAGCATCCATAGCAGGGGAGAGAAATAGCTTTTTCTCTCCAGTTTCATTGGGACCTGTCCCATTCATTTGTTAGAAGAGAAAACAGAGATTCCAGCAAGAGGGAGCCACATGCCCCAGGATACCTATGCAGCCAGGGAGGGGCAGAGATGACTCCCTGGGCCACCTCCTCCAGGAGGCCCTCCGAGATAAAGCTCACCTGGCTACCCAGATGGCTACTCCCCTAGGCTTGAGGTTCCCCTTCAGGGAAACCCTCAGGTGCACCCAACATTTCCACAAAGTTTAGGATCTTCTGAAAGACTTGGGGACTGCAGGCCTTGCCCTCCTTCCACACTATTGCCAGGTACTGTACTGACCAACATGGCCACCATCACAGCCTCTGCCACTCCCCCCATTTATAAAGAGCTGCACGTGAATTGTTTCCCTGAAACCTATTGTTTCTACTTCACAGAGGAAGAGACTGAGGTTCAGAGCGGACAATGCTTGATCAGGGTCACCCAGCCCAGAGCAGAACCAGGCAGCTGGAACTGGAGGCCAGCATCCTAACCGCTGGGTGTCACTGCCTCTCGGGTATGGGCGGAGCTGAGACTGGGGCCCTGGAGAGTGGGTGCCTCAGGGTGTGGGCCTGGCCAGCCACTCACCTGAGCTCCAAGTCCAATCCAGCCAGCATCTGGGAGAAAACCTCGAAGTTGCCTTCGCCTTCAGGCTGCCGGGCCACCCGGCTCTTCTCCAGCAGCATTGTCTGCAAGGGAGAGGGGGCATCCGTGAGCACCCGTGCCTGGTGGCCATCACCAGGAGGCCCCTTGGGGCCCCACTCTGGCCCTCCCCTGAGGGGACATCTCAGGCCCATACTCTGCAGGTGACCTCTGCTCAGCTCTCAGCAGCCCTTCGTCTCACTTCAAGTCAATCCACGCACTCAGCTACCACAATAAATTCATTCCAATTAAGGTATCAAAAGGCAATAACAATTAAATGGAGCCACCCTTTGACATATTCTTATTTAACAGCAGCCTTTAATAACTTGCCCAAATGGTGATTAATGGTGGACTTTCAGGGCCGGGATGGCAAGGGGCTTATTTGGCACTGACGAGTTTTCCTTGAGTCTGGATATGATCCCAGCTCCCCATACAAACAGCCCGTCTAATAGCCTAATCCTATTTTCTGTTCAAACAGAATGTTTGAGGGGGAAAGGGTGGGGGCTGTGGGTGATTCTGGAGATAGGAACAAACAGGCCATGTGTTTGTCACACACAGGCCGCATGGAGGCCAGCTAGTGGCTGTTTAATTTCAGCTTATGTTTTTAAGACCCAGCTAATGAGCAGCTGAATTACCTATTTGCTCATGAATATTTCATCCCTGAGATATCAGAGGCACAGACAGGCCATCTTGCTCTGGGAGGGGACATTCTGGGGCACTGAGCAGGGTGGAGCTGGCATGGCCAGGGGAGCTATGGCCCTTAAGACATATTCCAGGGCCCAGCCAAGCAGAGCTGAGGACCCTGAGGTCCCAGCTCCAGTCCACCCAGAGGCCTCACCTGGAGCTGCGCAGCTGTGACTCGGCCTGTGGCGTTGAAATCCAGCGACATCACCATGGTGAACCGGGTGGCACAGCGGCTGTGGCTGGTGGACACAGAGCCAAAGGCCCGGAGGACAGTGAAGGTGGCTTGGATCTTCTCTACTGTGGAGGCGTGAGGCAGGGCGTCACACGTGGCCAGACACTCCACATGCTCTTCTCACAGGGCCACCTTCTCCACGGGTTCCTGCCCCAAGGACAGACCCCATCCTGGCCCCATGCCCCATGGGCTCCTTGCCACCTCCTGATCACACAATAACCACCCACATTTCACTACCAGCCTGGCTCTGTGCTGTTAGCCAGGGTGCTGGGGAAACAAGACAGAGTCAAGAAGGGGAACTGCACAGACCCAAATTTGGTACAATCTGGGTAACAGGGGCTGCCCTCAGGCAGGGTGCTAACATTCTCCATTCACTCTGAGGGAACTCACAGTATTACAGCAGGCTAGAAAAGCCCTATATGCTTCCCATAACTATTTAGAGAGCACTTACTATGTGCTAGTCTCTGTGCTAGGCACCTGGATGCAGCCTGCCCTGACACCTGCATTCAAACACACAAACTCCCAGCAGAGCTACATTCTTAAAGGGCAAAGACTGGAGGTTCTACCCACTATATTCTCAGCTCCCAGCCTGGATCAGGAAAATTGGTGACCAAGAAAACATGGAATAACCCAGCAGAGAAGCCACAGAACAGAGCATGGTAGGTAAGTGAATTTGAATATGGATTCTTTCCTTTGCTATCTACTTGATTTGGAGCAAATTAAGTAAGTTTTCTGTGCCTCTGATATCCCATCTATATGATGGGGATAATAGTACCCCCACTTTAGTCATGAAGACTAAAATATTTACTAATGTAAAGTGTTTAGACCATATTCCAAATGAGGTGCATTTAGTAGGTTATCTATTATGACTAGAAAAGCACTATCGTCTGGGCCACATGTTCTCAGGGGGAAATATTGCCCCCCAGAAGGTAGAAACCAGTTCTTGGAGGTGGAGGGAATTTTATTTTCTTATGCATGGAGAACAGCTACACATACCCACAATACACACACAGATATACGGCATGTCTGTGGCATAAAAACTTGATGGTGGGGGGTTAAGGGAAAGACGGTCTAAGAGACTCCCAGGATACAGGCAGGGGATGACAATAAACAAAAATACTGAGAACACTTGCCCAGCAGTTACAGCTCTGGAGCCAGACTGCCTGAGTTTGAATCTCAGCTCTGGGATGTGTTAGCTGTGTGGTCTGGGGCGAGCTAGTTAGCCACCCTGAGTCTTAATGTTCTCATAAGTTCAAATACTGATAACATCTATTCTATAGGGCTGTTTAAATAATAAATAAGTTGATAAGCTTTGAGTAAGACCTGATTCAATAAGTTCTCAGCACATACTATAATCATTATGAATATTGTAAGCAGTACTATTATTCAGCATTCTTTCTCTAGGACTCAGCCCCAACACCAGGTCCTGAAGGAGATCCCCAGCCCCTGATCTGAGCTTCCTCCCTGTCTCCCAACTAACCAGCTATGCCAGCACATGCACAGAACATTTGAGGTTGGAACTCATGGGAGTTTAGTTTCCCTCGTGGCTGTGAGCTGCTGTGAGCAGAGGCCCTGCCCTTCGCTCTTGACTTATTGGGTCCTCGGTACTGTTCAGCATGTTTTGCACTGCACAAGGACATCATACATCATAGAATGCGGCAGTCAAGCACTTGGTGGTTGTTCCACAGGTGCTGTGAATGTCTTGAGGAGAGAGTACATTTTGCAAATTTGCACAAAGGCGTCTAATGGCCCAGGGGTTGGCCTGCCCTGTAGCCAGCACAAGGTCTGCACATAGGTGCTTACTGAAAGCTGGCTGAATGGATAAAAGAAGGAGCAGTCCAGCATTCCCTCCAAATGTCCCCTCCCTCCCTTCATAGCCCCTCTGTTATATGTCACCTGGGGATCACTGTACCTGAGACGCTGCCATCCACACTGCCCGCCATCCGCACTAGGTGCTCCAGGACCTGCTGGCAGCAGGTGGTCTTCCCAGCACCACTCCGGCCCAGAGTCACGATGCTCTGGTCCTTCCGCTGGCTTAGCAGTGCCCAGTATGCCCTCTGGGCCAAGGAGCCAACATGGGCGAGCAGACCATCCCGGCGGCCCCTGGGTACCTGTGGGAAGGTGCCAGGTATCAGCTTTCCCACCCCAGTCAGTCCAGGGAACATTCCAAGACAGAATCCTACCCTTGCTTCAAGTATAGATCCATCCCCTGCCTCCCAACATCCTCCCTTGTCAGAGAAGTATTGAGTCTTGCATTTCATTGGGAAGATCTAGCCTTGGGGTCAAGTCCTGCTTCTGGATCACCATGAGTGTTTGGGCAGCCTATGACCTACTCTGGGTCTGGTCTTCCTCTCCAGCTAGTGACAGCCGTGAACCCACGCAGTGTTAGCTCATGGTCTTGGTACAGATATTATCAGCTCATACCTGCCTGATAAGAGGCAGGTGGATAAAATGGTAAAATTGATTAGTGATGTCTGACATGGAAACAGTTGAGGGGATGGTGTGGGTAGTATATGTGTTATACATTTACCATAACAGATTTAGGTAATACCTGAAGCCCCTTCCACTTGATTCATTCATTCATACATCCATTCAATTAAAAAAATTGTTGAGTATCTACTACGTAACAGGCACTGGGAGCATAATACCATACCAGGAGGAGATACCATTACATGCCTATTAAAATGACTGAAAAAAAGTTTTTAATATTTTTAACATTACCAAGTTCTGGTGAAGATGCCGAGTAACGGGAATTTGTGTACAATGCTACACTTACCCTGGAAAAGAGTTTGGCAGCTTTTTAAACAGTGAGACATGCACTCATCACACAACCCAGCAATCCTACTCTCAGTAACATACCCCAGAGAAAAGCACATTTATGTTTACGAAAACCCTTTATGTCACTGGTAATATTGAATTTATACTCAAAGTCACCAAAAGCTAGAAACAACGCAAATGTCTCTCAATCCCGTAGCAAGCTCAAATAACCAAACATCATGGTTTTAGCTTGGAAAGTCCCTTGTTCTGGAAGATTCCTCAATCCTGGGCAAACGCAGACAACTAGTCACCGATGACTGGATAAGCTCACCAGAGCAAGCTACAACAAAATAAAGGAATCAATGCTGATGGCTCACCATGTGGGTCAATTTCCAATGCACTGAAGTATGTAGAAGAAGCCAATTCAAAAGGTACATTCTATAAAATTCCATTTATATGACTTTTCAGGAAAAAAAATAACTATAGGGGCAAAAAACAAACGAGTGGCTTCCAGGACAGGTCATGGGGGGATGACCACAAAGGACCCAGGGAACTTTTGGGGGAGATGGACTACTCTGGAGTGGGAGGGAGAAGTGGTTATAAGTGACTCATAGTTGTCAAAAAACTACAGAAGTGAACACTAAAAAGGTGATTTTAAATGTATGCAAATTTTGCCTTATTAAACTCAAATTTAAAGGAAACAAACTCCTGCCTAGGGAGCTTGCTTTCTGTTGGGAAGAGACAAATGGTAAACAAAGCAAATAATGAAATCATAGTGCACAGGAATCATGGTAAATCTCCGTGCCTGGATGTGATCACCAGGGAAGGAGGTATTTTATGAGGAGAAGAGATATAGGGACATGACACCCAACAAGGAGGGTTGGGGGGACCAGCAGAGGAGGCTGAGGAGAATCAGCAGGACAGAAGCAAAGGCATGAGCAGAGGCAAGAGCACAGCCCTGGCTCTGGGGCCAAGGAAGGCAGTGCTGGCAGCGGGGAGGGACCCAGATATCAAACGCTGCTGCGGTTTCAAGGTAGAGGAGCCTGGAGACTTGACCACTGGGCCGGGCAGTACTGAAGTCATCAGTGACCCCGATAACAGTCTTCTCAGCGGGTCCTTGCAAGGAGGAAGGGAAGAGGGCAAGTGGAGACAGTGAGGAGAGTAGAAGGACACCAAGAAGAGGGAAAGTGGTCTGATGACAAGAGGACCCTGGATGCTAAGTGGGACACCACTGAAGCCAGCAAATCCCCCCCTGCCCTCCCCAGTGCCTTAGCAGGGCCAGCATTGTGATGGCCAGAATGGACTCCAGTCTGGGACTACTGGGCATCCCCATTTTAATGTTGACCATCAAGCTCCAAAGACCCCCAGGAACAGTAACAAGTCCCCAACCTGAAGCATAACAGAGTTCAGCAGAACCCCAGGCTGGCAAAAGGGAGACACCCCCATCCTAGCTGGATACAGCATTAGGGCATGAGGCAAGCAGGGGTTCCGGGGTCTGAGCTCTAGAGCCACCTCCCACTCAGAACACTCCCATTCATTGACCCCTTCAGCCTATGCCTGGAGCAGAGAAGGGAGATTCCTGCAGATTTGGGCCTCTGTGTACACACATAAGTGCATGCACACACCTGTGCCCATGCATTTGTGCACATGCACCTCCGCGCGCTTGCACATAGGCGTGCTCACCGGCACATGCACCCACGGTTGCAGATAACCCTGCAGGGGTGGGCCGTCTATGCTCCATAGTAAAACCATGATCATACCACAAACACCTGCCCTCCCAAGGCACACGCCCATCTCCCAGCAGTCAGGTGGGCCCAGACCCCCTGAGAAGGGCAGCCAACCCTGCAGGTGATCCCACCCAGCCTTTCTTCAAGGTGGCCCAGTCCCAGCTTCACCGCAGGTGTGTGCTGCCACCTGGTGGCCACTTGAGGAACAAGACTTGTCAGCCAAAAAAGAGGTGGCTTGTGGGTTTGGGCGTGGGAGGGGAGAAGACTTGAGGGAAGAAGGATCTCCTGCCTCACCCCCACCCCAGGGGACAGGAGCTTAAGGTGATCACACAACACAAACCCACGTTGCAGAGCATATCCCAACCCCTGCCCTTTTAGGCTCTTTGGCCAGAATGCCTAGCCCAGGATAGACAGTGAGAAACTGGCTTGCCTTAGGGGGTTTTAAAAAACACCCTTCGGGGGGCCTCAGAGCCCAGCTTCTCAGGAGACTCTAATGTTTCAGGCTGCAATAACAGAAGCACAGCCCTCACAGCAAGGGAGGGGGAAATGCTCAGTTCTCCAGTGCTTCTGCGGTCATCCCAGGCCCCTGGCCCTGGAGAGTCAGGCTGGGGAGGGGCCTGGACAGTGACTGAAGGGGTGGGATAGGGTGGTGTGTCCTGGAGAAGTCTTGGGGAGAGGCTGCAGAGCCCCTGTCCATTCTTTAACGACCTGAGCACTGTGGGGAGGGGGGTTTAGGTAGGGACTGACACATGAGGACACTTAGGCCGAGAGGTGTCCTGACCTTTCTAGCGCACCTGGGTGTGCAAGCACGTTGCTAGACCTACCCCTTCGCTGACCAAGCCGTTCTCAGTGTGACACACAGAAACGACATTTGCCTCCATCCTTGTTCCCACCCTCTTTCCTCCACCCAGCTGCCAAGGGGGTCCTTTTACAATGTAAGTCAAACCAGGTCACTGGTCTGCGAAAAGTCTCCAGTAGCTGCCCCAGCACTCAGAGGGAAAGCAGAATCATTATCACCATGCATCAGAGCAGACGGCACGGCAGCTCCCCCTCCGCCCTCCACGATCCCCCCTCCACACTCTTCTCCAGCCCTGCCTTGACCTTTACTGCTTCGACCTCTTTGTCTCTAAAATGGAAGCCCCGTAAGGGCCGGCAAGTTTGCCTGTCTCCATCCTGTCTTCCCTCCCCGCCTGGGAGACCCTGGGTCCTAGTCTCAGCCTTTGGGCTGGGACTGTGTGACTCGGTTGTGGCCTCACACCTTTCCACAAGGGGGCGCCGAGATGTTTCCTTTGCTTTAATGGTCCTGTCGGCCCAAACTGGCCTGGCTAAACGTCCCAGGAATAAGCGAAAGCAAGTGGAGCTTCTGTCTCCTGATTTCTGAGGATGTCTGGGACTCCTGAGACCCAGCACGAGGTTCCAGGCACAGAGGAGCCGGCAGCCTGGCTTTACCCAGCTCCTCCAATGCTGAGCCAGAGTTCGGTGTCTGGCCCAGTCAGTTCTTATCCACAAAGCAGATGATCCCACCTGTGTTTGCGCCTGTGTTTGCACATGTGTGGGAATTAAGTGAGATAATACATGAAGGTGCTTGAAGCAGCACCTGGTCCAGAGTTGATGCTCGCTTGATAGTTTATTATTATTGTCCTAAATGTTTCTACTGTTTCTATCACCCCCTCCTCTACAAGGGGGCACATGCTCTTTGGTGGCCCACAGTGCCCATGACACCCCTGAATTTCATAGCTGGCAGGATGCTACTCACTGACATATGGGGGTTCTGGCTGCTCTGCTCTCCCTAGAGATGCAAAGGGACCCCTCACACACCTCTGCCCATGCCCCCTGCCCCATCCATGTGGTCGCTCCTCACCTTGCCCGCAGTGGGCACTGGGGGCCCGGGGGACTGGAGGACGATCAGGTGCGGCCCTGTGCAGGTGTGTGGCAGCTGAGCCTGGTAACGATGCAGGAGAGTGTTCAGGACACTGGATTCATTGACACTGACCAGAGAGGCCAAGTCCTCAGCCTGGTCCAGCTCAGGGGGGTTGGCCTGTAAAACATCACACAGAATGCCCCCTGATTCACACATTCACACACACACCCCCCCCACATACAACAGCCCTGGGGAGCTGTGTGCCAAGGACCAGCATGGTACCCAAGGACTCTGATGATAATGACAAAACCCTACAAAGGAAATAAGGGCACCCCTTCTCCTTTGCCCTCTGTGTGACATGGGAGCTACCCCTCGCTTCACACCGCCCAGCCTCCCCATGCTCTCTGCCTCAGAAGGGGAGGAGCTGCTAAGGCAGATGTGGCAAGATTCGGAGACCCTTCTGTATCTCAAACACCACAGAGATCTGGGTGGGGTTAACCTTAAGGAGGTGCACACTGGGTGTTGTGGGGAGCACAATGTGTGCACCCTGACACCATGGACAGAGGCCAACAGTCAAACTGAGCCAACTGGAGTCTCTGCCGCCATGATTGAGGCCTAGGAAATATGCCCGAGCCCAGCCAGAGCAAGGATAACTGCAGCTCCTCCGAGGGGCAGCCATTCACTAAGACTTCTGAGCAGTCTTTCAAGGTTCAGTGAGTTTTCTGAGCCTAGTGCCCTGGGGCTCAAGTCAAGGGTGAGGCCTCTGATGGATCAGCCTTTCTTCTGAGGACAGGACCTCTACCATCTCCCAATCCCAGTAGGCAGAGAGGGTCTGAGATGGGAAGAGGAGGAACAGGGAGGGACAAAGAACATGCCCACATGGAACCCTGGAGGAAACACTTTCTCAACTTGGACACTATGAGGGATGGAAAGGATCAGAGAAGAAGGGCTTTCTGCCTGATCACAATTGCACTCCAACTTATCCTCAAATACATTATTGGTAACCCGCCAAAATTATGCAAAATAATTGAAAAAGTAACCAAAAGTTGATGGCAAAAAGTTGGGCCATTGGAACCTATATTTTGGTTAATGCAAGCAGCAAATTTGGCTGAGTCCCCTGACATGCTTTGTAGCATGATTAGCAATGTCCATAAACTGCATCAAGCAGAAAAACTTGCGGTCCTAAGACCTCACATACATGTTCTTCACGTGCCCGCATAAAGGCGACACACTGTGTGGCAAAGTAATGACCCCTTAGCAATACAGCTTCAGAGAGAAATGCATTCATAGTAGTGGTCCCTATAACTCCCTCCAGGGCATCGAGCCAGGGAGGTATGTGCAGTCCAGTAGCAGGAAATCTGTAGCAGGGATGAAGGATGGTGTGAACCAAGCGGGAAGTGGAAGGAGAGCTCACCCGATGAACAAGCTCCTCATCCACCTCGGTGATAGTTTTGTCAGCATCAATGCAAAGCCTCACCCTTCCTGCCGGCAGGTCGGCTGTTCCCTCATCTGGTTTCAGCACCGTTGCTGGTAGAGGGTAAGACAAGAGAGAGACAGGCTGTGAGGTACTAAGCCAGGCCAGACAGCTGGAGAGGGGATCGGGAGCAGTCAGAAAGGGGCACCATCCTCTCCTGCTGGGGCCTATTTACAGGACAGTCCTAAATTGTGACCCCAAACCATTTGAGGACAGAAAGTAGGTCCCACTCACCTTGGGCTTTTATTAACTGGCACAGTGCCAGGCACAGAGTAGGCACCCAGATGGTTGGGTACAGTAACCAACCTCATACTAGAACTGGGGTGGCAGTCAATGGCATACAGGCTGCCATTTCCCCATGGAGCACCCATGACAGACATCACTAATCAATCACTCTTCCCAGCTGTGTTCTCACTGGGACTCACAGTCACTTCTCAGTAGAGTGTGGTCACCAGACACAACTAATCAACAAAAGTGAGCTCACGAGATGAAATCTATTTGTCCACTTGCACTAGACTCTGAGTTCCTTGAGGAATCAAACAATGTGTGTTGCATTAATAAATTAGTTAAGTCACTAATTACCAAGTCTCAGAAGATTTTGAAAACAGCACCCAGGATACCAACTGCTAAAGGCAAAATGACCCTTAACTATCGCCACCTCCATTACCCATCGCCTTTCTCCCCCAAACAGTAATCAGGACCTGGGAAACATGGCTATCAGCAGAAGGGGGTGGAAGAGGAAAAGACTTTATTCCCATCAATGGCGCTACCCCTCATTACCAAGAATAAATCCATCCTTCTGAACCAGCCAGACCTTCTCTGCCTTGTACCATCTGTCCTCGAGAGCCTGAGAGCAAGATCACATCAATTAAACCAGGAAAATGACACCTCCATCCCTTACCCCATGGAATCTTCTTACATTGAGGTTTCTCACAGTATGGTCTAGGATCACCTCAATCAGAATCTTGGGAGGCAATTTAAATGCTTATTTAAATGCAGATGCTGTGGTCTGCCCCTGGCCTGGGGAGCGCCAGGAATCTGTATTTTGAATGACCCATTACTGATGCAGTTTCAAGCTTGAGAATAATCTTTGACACCGACTAAGTTCAGCCCAAGGGGAGCTCTCATGCCATGGGCCACTCCTTTTTGGGGCAATTGCACTCTGGGAAATGTGCTATGCGGTCTCAGGATCACTGCATGGCAAGGAAAAAGTGTTTGCTTCCTCCTTTGGGCTGGCCATCCCTCTCCAATCCACTGTCCCCCCATGTCCACCCCCAGGGGTGTCCTACCCACTCGTCCTTTTCTGGAGGCCCCCACCCGTGCCTCCCCACTCCCAAGGCTGCAGCCCCCTCACCTGGTCTGAGTCTCCGCTCTGGCCTCCCAGGACACTCTCTTGCAGGGCAAGCCCCTCTTTGTTCTCCTCCTGGGTGTCAGGCTTCTCAACCTGGCTCTCCAGAGCAGGCTGTCTGGGTCCTTCTTGCTCCTTCTGCAGGGCCTGGGCCCCACCGTCCTCTCTCGTGCAGGCCTCCTCTGCCTCCCGCCCTCTGCTGTCAGGACGGCTCTCCTTCCCAGCGGCCCGTGGGGGCTCCCCACCTGCCTCCACCTGCGTGGGGACTTTCCTGTCTTCCCCTGTCTCACTCTGAGCCTTGCCTGCCTCTCGGGGCTCTTCCTGGCGTGGCCCCTCCTTTCCCAGCTCACCGTGGGGCTCACCTGCTTTCTCCCTCACTCTCAGGGCTTCCCCCACTGCCGTGGCCGCCAGAGGGTCACCTGTCTTGTCTGCCTTACTTGGGAGATGACCGTCTCCGGCCTTCCGCGTCTGTAAAGCACCCCACTTGCTCTTCCTCTCCAGAGGCGCGCCCACCTTCCTCACCTGGGTTTGGGTTCCAACCCGCTTCCCTTCATTCCCTGAGTCTTTGGAGACAGTTCCCTTTGCCATCTTGTTTGGGGGTTCCCCTCCCCCCTTTCCTGCTATCCCTGCCTGACCTCCCTCCCCTGACCCCTCTTTGCCCTGAGGATCACTCCCCTTCAGCCCTTTGGTCTGGGGCGCCCCAGCCGCTTTCCCCACTGTGCCTGGAGACGTCTCGGCTTTAGTTGGTGGCACAGTTCCTGGGTCCCCAAGATTCCCAGTCTGGGTCTTCTCAGCCTTCAGGGCTGGGTCCTCAGTGTTGCCCTGGGGAGCAGGAGGAGTCCCTGGGGTCAGCCCTTGTTTTTCCCTCCAGGGTCTGTGGCCGGGGGTGTAGCAGCACAGGAGGGGGTGTTGCGGGCTGGGGTCCTCTGCTCTGGCTTGGCTGAGTCTGGGTCCAGCTTGGCCACCATCAGCAGCACATCGCCCCTCCGCACACCCCTCTTGAAGGGCAGGGGCTTTTTGGCTGGGGCCTCGCTGGGGCCCGGCTCCTGGGGCTTCTCTCCACGGATGCCGGTTCCCAGCGCAGGGTCTGTGGTGACGGCCGCCTCGCTCTCCTTGCCCGGAATGTTTGAGTTCTGGGGAGAGCTGGGCTGCTGGTTTCCAGATTTGTTGTCACAGCTGGACTTGCAGTTTGGTTGGTCAGCAGAAATTTCTGGGGTCTAGGAGAGACACCACCATCCTAGTCAGCTGCTTGCTGACCTGACCATTTTGTGCTTCCTTCATTCACTCGCCCATTCATTTATCTGTGCACCATCCGTTCATCTGTAAGACCTCCCAGGCACTATCCAGGCCTTGAGCTGAACCCCAACTCCCTGACCTTGCTCAAGTAACAAAGTAGAAAAGAGTAGACTTTGGAGCCCCAAAGACCCACGTAAAACTCCTGAGGCTGCCATTTACTCGCTGTGTGACCTCAGGCAAACCTCTTGTCCTCTCTGAACTTGTTTCCTTTAATGAAGGGGAGAAGAGACTTCCCCGCAGGGTGAGCATAAAGATCCAAGCCAATGTACAGCCCATGGTTAATCCTCAGGAACGGTAACTGCCACTGCTATTCTTGTTGTCACTGTCATTATTAATTCCGCCCTGATTCTCCCCACTGGACCAGGAAGGGAAGGACTCAGGCCTGTCATCAGATCTGTCCTAGTCACAGCTCTTCCCAGCTGGATGAGAACACACATCATCTAGCATCTAAGCTTCACTTTTTCTGAGGTAGAAGCAGAGTCCACCTGCTCATCCAGATTTTTTTTAAGATTTATGTATTTATGCATACAAGAATTGGGGTACAGGCCAGAGGTGTGGGAGATGAGAGGATTCACCAGAGACAGAGTGGGGAACAGAACAGGCATATAGACCGAAGTACACTGCTGAGGGGAGCAGCGGGTGAGTCAGGAGAGGTCTGCTGTGCCATGTGGGTAGCTCCCGGAGCAAGAATCAAACTTGCACCGCGAGGCTACGGACAGCTTCACAGTGCTGCGCTCAACCCCTTGCACCCATGCTCATCCAGATTTTATGTAGAATGAGATGTGGAAAAGCACTTTGGAAATTACAGAGAACCGAGGAAGCTGGGCTGCTCCTCCTTCTGTGCCTGGCCCCCTCACCCCACTCCCCATTCCAGGTGAAGGTCCGGTTTTCTGCCCCTCAGGTCCTTTACTCTTGCATGACCTACATACTTGGGATCTCCATTACCTGCTCCTGTACCAGACCCTTTGACTGCCTTGCAACTCAGCCCTCGGTCCTCATGCCATCATGGCTGTGACTCACAGGACCAGCCTGGCCTCTGCCTCTGTAGACAGAGAGCTCTCGGGCAGCTCTAGCCTGAAACCTGGTTGCACCATCCGGCCTAGCCTGGGTTCTTCCATCTTGGACATGCTAATGCCAGCCTCCCACACACCTGTGCCTGGGAATCTGGGGTTGTCACCCTCTTCCTGCACCAGCCCAACGATCACACTGATTCAACCCTGCAGAGCTTCACATCTGTGTCTCCTTTCCCAAAACCAGGTCCACTGTCCCTCACCTAAGCCTCTGAACCACAGCCACAGCCTCTGAACTGGGTGAAGTTGCTATCATTTAAAATCCCATCAAGGGCCTCCCCGGTGGCGCAGCGGTTGAGCGCTGGGTTGCGAAGCTGCCTGCAGCCTCTGCAGCCGGTTCGATCCCCGGCTGCTCCCCGGCCACCGGAGGAGGGTCCCATATGGCGAGCAGACCTCTCCTGCCGCCCGCTGCCCCCCTCAGCAGTGTACTTCGGTCCCTCTGCCTGCTCTGCTCCCCGCTCTGGCTCTGGTGAATTCTCTCACCCTCCCGTGCTTCTGACTGTACCCAGTGCATGTATAAACCAAACAAACAAACAAATAATAAATAAATAAATAAATAAATAAATAAGACATGCCTCTAGAAAATTTAAAAAAAATAAATAAATAAATAAATAAAATCCCATCAAAAGATTTTGGCAGCTGCCTAGGGCCTACCAGACAATCATTCAGCACTACCACCTGCCCTTCCAAATCCTCAGGGAAGGGCCCTGTCTCCATTCTGGGCCCTGCTTTCCCCATGCTAGGCATCTCCCACCACACCTGACACTCCCTGCCTCTGCTTTTGGTGATGCTGAGCATGCCACCTGGGACATAATTACCCCTCTCCACTCTACTACCTTTACTCAGCTTTTCATACTCAGCTCAAATGTCCTCAAAGCTTTGCCTGCAGACTCAATCAGAAGTTGTCTCATCTGCCTGCGGAACCCCAGAGCACAGGGATGGAGCACCGTTTGCAGCAATGACCACAGCCTGCACCCCCTTCTAGCTCTGAAGTGTCTCCCTCTCCTGTTTTAGGTGGTAGGAGCTGCTAGATCACAGTATCTTCATCTTTACAGTAATAATGATCATGATAATGATGCTAGCTGTCATTTAAAGATCCCTTATAATGGGCCTGACATCACCATTATGCTGTATCTTACTTAACCCTCAAAGGACCTAGTCAAGTCCGAATTTCTCCCTGTCCCCAGGTAAGTGAACAGAAAGATGCTAGGCCAAGAGACCAAGCTGGAATGCTAAACCCCACAGATCCTTCGGCTGCATATTAACAGCCTTACTTTTCTTTCTAGAATCTCACTAACTAGACTCTCCTGGGAGCTTTCAAAAACACTGATAATTTGGCTTTACTCCCAAAGAGGCTGATGTAGTTGTTCTGGATTGTGGCTCATCAGGTTAGTCCCAACATGCAGTCAGGCTGAGGCCCACGGCCTGGTGGTTCCATCTGACCTTCTGGGGCCAGACAGAGCATAGCCTTGGAAAGGGGATTGGTTGCACTTGGAAAATCTTACCACCATCTACATTGCTATGAAAAGTGAGTCAGTACCTTATTTTTAACCAAAGCACTACGGAGGAAGAGTAACATGGGGATGGGCCAAATAAGAACCAACGCTAGCTTTTCTACCTCCCACCCATCAACTCCCTGGCTTAGAATGCTCAGCCCCCAAAGACCTCAGGCCCCTCTGCAACCTCCTTGCATATAAGGGAAGTAGCACCTTTAAAATCACTGAGGCTGAGAGGAAACTCACAGCAGATGTTCATTTTACAGATGAACAAACTGAGGCCAAGACAGGAAAGAGACTTGGCCTGGCCCACACAGAATGGCAAGGTCAGAGCTGGAAGCCAGTCTGCTGGTATTCTATATGGAATAACCCCAGTGTCATTCCAGCCTCAGCCTGTCACTGGTCAGGTGGCCCTAGGAAAGCCAGTTGGGCCCACCAAGCATCCTTTCCATTCCTGCACAATGGTGAAGAATTCCAATGGTTCCTTGTAAGGGAAAGCAGGTGAAATGGTTATACTGGGGTATGAGGATAGTGTCTGGAGCTATTTACTGACTGGAATAAGAAAATTAAATTAGAAGGGCTGCCAGGAGTTGCTGCCTCACAGGGACATGTCCTGAAGCTGGCCACTCCAGCCCCAGGGACATCTTGGCCCATGTTCCAGACACCTGCTGTGGCCTGAGGGCCTGTCCATCCACATCTTGGCTCAGAGCCCCTGTCCAGGCCCAGTGATGAGTCTATCCCCATCCTTGGCATTTTGCTTCCTAGCAGCAATGTGTGCACAGTAACTCCTCATCACACACTTTCCTCCCCAGGTCTCTCACTCCCCAGACTTCCATCCACCCTATTTCCTGTTGGGGTACCATTTAATAAGGTTAAAAACTAAGCTCCACTCTTTGCCCAGCAGCAAGTTTTGGGATGCTTGAATAGATAAAGGAAATTGATATGATTGCTATGGGAACCAGGCCATCAGACTGATCACTTTGACTATGAATGCTGAAGCAGGGCATTCTGTGTCAAAGGTCAGTGTCCAAGACCAGACATCCTAGCAAGTAACAGGCCCAAACCAACTCCCTCAATCATAAAAATCCCACAAAAACAGGTTCTAAAAGGGAGCCCTGACTCCTTCTTCATGTGCAGACCTCTCCTGTCTAACCCCAATAAATCTGCCTTTTCTGTTCTCCACTCTGTCTCTCGTGAATTCTTTCAACACCATACCTCCAGCCTCACCCTGGTATTTCGCCCCACTATACTCCCCAATTTGGCCCTTCCACAGACTTTCATCTGGCTCGGATCTACACAGCCTCACACCCTGCCCTCTCTGGGCCTCAGTCTCCACCTCCCCCACTGCTGCACAGGGTCAAAGGAGCCCATGAGCAGCAACTTCAGCCTGTCTAGTGATAAATAAAGCTCAGTGACATTTCACATGCCCTAACCACAGCCTACAGGGGTGGACTCTGCTCCCCACTAATACTTGGGTCAGGTCTGTCCTCCCTGTTATTCTGCCCCACAAGACTTGGCAGGGGTGCTTCAGCAGCTGCTGTTCATCAGCAGCTGGAGGACTTCTCTGATGCAGCAATATCATTGTAATAGGACAGGTGCAGGCATGTGGGGGACTGGCTAGGCAAGCAACAGCTGAACAAGAGGGGAAGGAAGAGCTGGGATGGCCCTAGGCCTCAAACCAACACCAAGCCTTGAGGCCTGAAACTCTCAGCCCAATTGTTGTAATATTCACCCTGCCTCAAGAGGGCACCAGAGGGCCTCCCTGGTGGCGCAGGGGTTAAGACACAACCTGTGAAGCAATCTGTAGCCATTGCAGCATGAGTTCTATTCCTGGCCAGCCAGGAAGACACCCACATGGCAGGACAGACCTCTCCTGTCTCGCCCGCTGCTGCCCTCAGCAGTGTACTTCGGTCCGTCTGCCTGTTCTGTTCCCTGCTCTGTCTTGGAGAATCCTCTCACCCCCTGCATCTCTGGCCTATACCCCGATTCTTGTATAAAAATAAATCAATCTTTTTTTAAAAAAAAAAAAAAAAAGAGGGTGCCAGAGACACAGGATATGCCCTTTCTGCCTCATACGGTGATACAGCCCAAGGCTCCATGCCTGCCTGCCTGGGGTACAGACTCATCCTTTGGGGGCCCCCTGTTATGGAGCTGGGGGAAGGTTAAAACCTATCAGAAAGGAAGAGAGCTGAATGGGTACTGATGTCCTACCTGTGCCATGCATGGATCTTTTCATTATTGGATTGTGCCGCCCCCGCAGGGACTCATGGGAGGCACCTAGGAGAGCATGGCAGTTGGAGGACAGTGGGTGAGCCACCTAGTATAGAAAGAATTCAGCATCTCATCACCCAATACAACTTGCACCAGTGAGCACCAACTGAATACTTTTTCTGCTAAAAGTGAACAAACTCTTCCTTAAAATTAGCCATTATCTAGTTCCCTTTGCTGCAAAAGCAAAGGTAAAATGAACCCCCGAATCACACATCAACTGACATCATACATTCACTCATGTGTTTATTCATTAAACACATTGTTGCACACTCACTGTGGGCCAGTACCATGAAGGCTGTTCAAGATACACAGCTGGAGAGAGAGATAGTTGTTATTCTCAAGGAGCTTCTAGTCAAACAAGTCACATGACGGAGTAATTACTATGCAGACCACATTAAGAAAAGCATAGTGGGTTGGAATTAGAAGAAAGCAAGCAACAGGAGAGCTTTCCAGAGAGGTATTATTTGAGCTGGGTACTGAAGGATGCATAGGAGTTCAGCAGATCAAGTTGGAAAAAAAAAAAAAATGGCATTCCTCAAAATCGGGACAGCAGGAGCAAAGGCCGGCTGGGGAGTGACCCAGAGGAGGCTCACAGAACAGGAGGGTCTGGACACACACCTAGTCCCCTTCATGCAGAGTCACTTACCTCTTTTTCTGGAGGGGCAAGTGCTGTCTGTTTCTTTCGTCTCGCTTCCTTGGATTCTTTCTCAGTCTCCCGGACCAGTTGCCTAATAAAGCCTCCTGGGATGACAGAGAAAAGGGGAGGGGGCGAGGATGGTGGAGGGCTCTTGTCCTCTTCCCGAATCTGTTTTGCAGAAACAAAGGAGAGAGCTCAGTGAATGAACCAGTGGGGTGACAGAGCTGGGAGGAGCCCATGGAGGATGTATATGAACAAGAACAAGTAAAAGAAGCCACAGCAAAGCAAGTGAGCCTCAGGCTGGCTCCAGGCAACCTAGTCAGCATGTGGGGAGGGAACGCATGAGCAGCAGAGCTCGCTCCACTCAGTATGATTTCACCTGGGCCAAACTTCCTCATAATATGAAGCAGAACCACGGAGGCCATTGACTTCTTTCCTTGGTATGGGGCAGATGCTTCAAAGGGGGCTTTTCCAGTTTTCAGGAGATGAATCACAGGGTTCACCCATATTCTCTGCCACACCTCAGTTTGTACTTAATAGAGTTGATTAATTAATTAATTACTTGCCAGAGGCATGGTAAAATAGGGAAGGGTATGCAGCCCTGGCTTCTAGAAGGATCCAGCCCCATGGAGACAGCCCAGTGTCCCAGCACTGTAGCTGCTTGGTGATCCCTCAACCAGGGAGTGAGCAGCTAAAGGCTCTGCCCACACCAGGTCCTAAAGTCAGCAGCCTGGACTTTGGCATTTTAGCCCTGAAATGTGATCCAGGCCACAGCTGGCTGGACTTGGGTTACAGCTGAGACCCCGTCGCCGGCCACAGTCACCATGGGAGTTAAGATGTGAGACTGGTTGTCACTGACCGGGTATGTCCTTAACCAGCATCACTGTGATTGCTCGTGAGGAAAAAAAATATATATATATATGTATATATATCTCCAGCGCTACTACAGAGGAGCTACACACTGGTTTAAAATTAGCTCCTTATGGGCCTCCCCGGCGGCGCAGTGGTTGAGCGCTGGGTTGCGAAGCTGCCCGCAGCCTCTGCAGCGCCGGTTCGATCCCCGGCTGCTCCCCGGCCACCGGAGGAGGGTCCCACCTGGCGCGCAGACCTCTCCTGCCGCCCGCTGCTCCCCTCAGCAGTGTCCTTCGGTCCTTCTGCCTGCTCTGCTCCCCGCTCTGGCTCTAGTGAATTCTCTCACCCTCCCGCGCTTCTGCCTGTACCCAGTGCTTGTATAAATAAATAAATAAATCTTTAAAAAAAAAATAAAATAAAATAAAATAAAATTAGCTCCTTATGAGGGTCCTCTGTGGGGGCCTGGAAAAGACTTGCTCTCTGCAGCCCAGTTGATGAAGGGGGAATCCAAAAGAGGTAAAGGCCAGGAGACAAAGCAGAGGCCATGGGAATCGTCTGGTTAATGCAGAACTCTGCCCAGGAAGAATAAAGCAGGGAACAGGGAAAACTGGGCTCACATATACACACATCTCCCTCTCCATGACACTGAAGCCTGCTTTGTAGAAGAGAGGGAATCTTAAGGCACCCTCACCCGCTGTCATCCTCAGCTTCTTTCATCACAACTCTCAATGCTCCACCCAGATCATTCCAGGAAGGGCAGAGACAGCAGGAAAGCAGCTTCTCCTCCACCCCACCCTCCAGCCTCCAACTCTTCAAATTATGTGCACCCTTAAAGGTGAGATGAGGGTGGACAAGAGAACAGCCATCAAAGAAAGAGGCGCCCCTTCGCTATCTTGTGGAAAAACACAAAAGAAGAAAGACTGGAGAGTGTGCCCCTTGGTGTCTCCATGGTGACAGATGTAGAGACCTCAGAAACCCACCCTGTGGCACAGCCTGGCAGCCAACAGCTCTACTGCTGCCCCCCCAACTCTTCCTCCCACATAAGCCCCCATGCTCGTCAGAGCTGCATGAGAGGGGACCCCCAATGCCTACTGCTACTGGGGACAGGCAAAGGCCAGGCAGGTGCGGGAAGAGTGAAAGGCACAGGCACTAATGCCCAGCAAGGTGCGAGAGGCCACGGCTAACCAAGCTGGCTGGGAGGAGGTGGAAGGTGGGACTGGCCGTGTCACTGGCAGGCGCTGGCTGTCAGACTCCCCGTGCTAGGTGGGAGGGGACAGCGCGGACCACTCATGCCATGACGTGTCCTCCATGGTCCCGGCAGCCCCTGCAGCTGCGGCCCCAGCCCCAAGCATCACTTTCCTTCTGCTCCCACAGTGCGAGGCGTGAAGAGATGGCCATGCTGCGTCAGTGGCAGGATCGTGAGACGAGATGAAATGGCGCTTCCTGCCAGACAGCACGGAATGAGGTTTTATGGGCACTGGTAGCAAGTGAGGGGGACACAAGACTGACACACAGAGACAGTGGGGAAGAGAAGAGAGACACAGATTAGCTCAGAGGAACTGCCTGGTTCCCACCCCCACCAATGCCATAAACATTTCACTGCCATTTATTCCGGGGCGGGGGGGTGTCGGGCAGGGGAGGGGGTACTTCTGGCCATGGAGTGGACAGTGCCCTGAAATCCTTTCCCCTTGTCCCTACAATTTAACTTTTTGTTGAGATATAACACATGAGAAATGCACATAATCATGGGTGTGTGACTGAATGGCTCTCACAGAAAGGATGGAACTATGTAACACATGAAGGATTACAACTAAATCAAATTAAAAATATTTTATAATTTTTAAATAAAAAATAGCATTTAATTTTAAGTACATTGAGTTCAAATGTAAATATTATTAAAATTAAAACAACAATTTGAATTAAAATTATTAAAAAAAAATCTAAATTCCATCTCATTTAAAATATTTTATGAGACTTTCAAGCACAGGCAAATCTAATCAGTGGTGGAGGCTGGAGAAGCTGTTAGGATTAGGCTATTTCTGGGGCAATGCAAATGCCCTGCATCTTGCTGTGAATGATGGCTTCACTAGGACATCATACACAAATATTCATCTAGCTGTATTTCAATTAAGACTGAAAATTTCACTGCATGAAGTTCTATCTCAATTCAAAACATACACAGACTATTCCCAGCTCCCTCGGACCTCTCGCACACCTGCTCCTAGTTACTGTTCTCCCAAGGGTAATCATGGAATAGTGGGGTTTTGTTTCATGAGGGAGCAGTTAGATCCACAGTTTACCTATGAAAATTCAGAAAGGGCAGGAAATCAGAACTATAAACTGGCCCAAGATTTGGGAAATGATTTATTATCACATTTAAAACCTAAACAAATGTTTACAACTTTGACCTAGAAAGCCCTCTTCTGGAAAACAAGCTTGAAGACGTAATCCTAAACCAGAAAATCTCATCACAAATTCTGTTGCTTGTAGCAGTAAACAAAAACAAACAAACAAACAGAAAAAGACACAACCTAGGTGTCCAATAACTACAGAATGGCAAGTAAATTTGAGTGCATTGAACTTGAAGGAATATCATGAATCCACTGAAAAAGGGAGGTGGTTAGGAAACATTTTGCAACAGCTATCCAGGTTTTCCCCCACTACCAAAAGTAGTGCTCCTATGAAATATTTCATAAGCTGAAAATGGCATAAAGCAAAGAAGCAATTACCATTCATTTATGTGGAGACATTTTTGAGTGTTCCCAGGACCAAAAAATAACCTATGAAGCCATATAAGAGAACACATAAATCCTACCTACAATAACCTAACACACAGTAAAAGCAGGGTGGAGCTGATATAAAGTGGCTGGTATAAAGTAATTTCCAAGGAAGAAGCTGGGCAAGACCACTCTTGCTACTCGGGGTGCACACTACCCCTGCAAAGCCTGCTTCAAAACATAAGTTGAACACTGTTTTTGATTTTCACTTTTTGTAAAAGCAAAAATTCCCTTCAAATTTTTGTTAGCAAAAACAGGTAGTAATGCAGGTCTTTCATATACACAAACTTTTGCAAAGCAGGGGATACCTGTTGAGGTACCATTTTATGCCAGTTATAATATTTGCTCATTGTAAGTGTACAATGATTTTTAAATACATTTACAGCATTTAAAAAATAAATTTACAAAGTTTGCAACTGTCACCACAATTACATCACTCCCCAGAAGCCCTTCATACCCATTTGCAGTCGCTAGCTAGTTCCACCCCATACCTGGGGAACCAGAGCCCTTCCTAGCTCTACATGGACATGCTTTCCTGGACATACAGAGCATATCACTTTTACATCTGGCTTCCTTCACTTTGCATAATATTTTTAAGGTTCACCCACATTGTTGACTCGGTTCCCCGTGTGGTCATCCCCTCTTAAGCTGATCCCCTCCCCAGTTGATGAACACTGGGCTTGTGTGCATGGGGCCCAATGTGAGTAACGCTGCTAAGAATAGTCACCAAGCCTTTGTGTGCCCCTGTTATATTTCTTTCAGAAGGTCCCTAAAAGAGGCGCTGACATTCTCAAAATGTTTGACATTCTGAGAAAGTGCCAAAGGGGTTGCACCCTCTCCCACCACACCTGCTGGTTCCAGAAGCATCTGGGTCTCCCTGGAAGGTACACGCGCCACCTTGCACAGTGAAGATGGTAGAGCTCGACACGGCATCCATGAAAACGGTCCAAAAGGCATGAATAACAAAACAGCCCACGTAGAAAATACACCCACGCACAATTGCACCAAGATCTCAGTGGAGGTGGGCCTGAGCAGAAGCACGAGCCTGGGCTGGGCCTGTCCTCTGGCACAGACCCTCCCAGCCCAGCCCTTCCTGAAGAGGCACACCCCGCCCGGCCCTGGCCCCAGCTGTCGGCGCCACGGTCACCCAAGAGTCTTCGAAGGCCTCGTTGGCCTGCAAGTAGCCGCTGTCCGTGACATCCGTGAGATGCCGGCTCCGGCAGCACTCAGGGAGTTCTCGCCTGCGCGCGGACAGCTGCACACACTCCGGAAGCAGGTGAGGGGGATCTGGCCACCCGACAGGTGCTAACGTCAGCACTCATCTCGCGAGAGCCCGAGCCCGAGCCCGTGCCCACCTCCACTTTGTGAGATGTAGCTTGAGGCTGCAATCAGCCCCAGAGTGTTTGCACCAGAGAAATCAATGAATAGAACAGGTGGAACATGCGTGTTCTTGGGGAGCTGGTCACTAAACATTTACCAGCACGTGTCTGGTTGAGACCCCAGTGGTCCCACAGGGCCTGGAAAGCGGGAAACCTCAAG